GTATTTCATAATGCATTGTACTGTATATACTGTTCCTATGTATTATACAGAGGTGAGGATAAGCCCCTTTTATATGCAGATTAAGGATTATTTCTGATAGGTTGTTGTACGCTATTGGCTGTTGTAAATGACCTGTCATAATAAATGCAGCCATGGCAAGGGCAAATGTTAACCCAGTGAATGATGTTCATGAATACTGTAGGACAATCTAGTTCCATACGTTTCCACGGATGAACTGTGGTGTGTCATCACTCAATTTTCCACTCTGTGGAATAAAATGTAATGCCCTACACAATAAATGGTAGTAGTATTATCTCATTTATTACACTCTATACTGACTGAGTTCCAATTGTTTAAAGTCAGGCCACACAAAAATGATGCTTCAGGCATAGGCACAGTCTTGTCCACCTGGCAATGGTGATGGAAATCAGTAGTCTGATTCAGCATTGGTTGAGCAGGAAACAGGGTGCCCTTTACAAGGAACTACATGTGGAACAAAGAGGAACTCAATAACAATGTCTCAATTGAGGTAAAAATAAAATACCACTTTAGGTAAAAAGAAGGCTTTAGTCTCAAGACCACCTTGTTCTTACAAAACAAGAAAATGTTCTTTACAAAAAGAGCTGCCAATTCAGAAACATGCCTAACAGACCTAATGGCCACCAGGAAGGCAACCTTACATGTGAGGTCTTCCACAGGAATGTCTCTATGTCTCTAATCAGTTCAAATGGGGGGGGGGGGGGGGGGCGGGACAGAGAGAGCACAATATTAAGATCCCAAGGTGACACAGGAGGTCAACTTGGGGGATTTATATAAGCAACTCCCAGAAAAAAGTCTTCAGTCATTAGGGATTAAGGCACAATGTTTACAGAAAAGAATGAATAAGGCAGAAACCTGTTCCTTAAAAGTACCAGACACTGATTGAGACCAGACTGAAGAAAGGTCAAATATGAGTAATAAGAGTTTTCCCTGGAGTTCAGCAAACTGTCCTTGCACTAGGCAAAGTAGGCCTTCTGTTTGTGGTGTTAAATCTTGCGGGTGTTGGATCTTCTTGCTCTGAGTAAGGTGGGAAAAACATAGTCAGAAACTCCTATCTTTTGGGACTTGGGTTTCAACAGCCATGCTGTTAAAGCCAGCAGCTGAGAAGCAGGATGGAATAGGGGGTCTTTGGCCAGTAAGTTTGGTTTGTTTGGAAGAGACAAAGGCTTATTTGCCAGAAGTCTGAGTATGTCTGTGTACCACATCTTTCTTGGCCAATTTGGTGTGTTGAGAATCACCTGAGCCTTTTCCTTCTCTTGTGCAGTGGATGAGTGAGAAGAAGGAAGGCAGTAACCAGTATGACTACCCCTTGGAAATGACCTTTTGGAGGAAACGCATCGGGGGCAGAACCTGTGCTGATGTTATCAAGCCTGCTGGAGGTGATGGCAGTGGTGGCTTTATTACATGTGTTTGCTTTAAATCTCTATGTGAGTAGATACACAGTATATATATCAAATAAAAGCTACAGGTTGCACTATGGGATGTCTGTGTATTTCATTTATGGGATGACATGCATGAAGGAGGTGACGTGCTGGTAGTGAATCCCTAATAATGTGTCCTGTGGTTCTCAAATGCCTTTGGAAAATCTGGCTGCTGTGATCCTCATTGACGGTCTCTGATCCCTGGATGGGGATGATGGTGAAATTGCCACTCATCACAAGTGGAGGAAACACAGTTTGCATCTGTGGATTGGTGTTGGAACTCTTCTGAATTCAACAGTCTTTTCTGTTTTGGACTTTCATTGATTTATGTCAGTAGTGGTGGTGGAACTCACTGTTTATTATGTATTCTTTGATGTTATGTTTATTGCACTATTGAAATAGTGGTGTTACTGGGTTATACAAACTGTTTTAACCTGATATTCGGTTTAATAGCTAGAGTGGTGACACTTGTAAGTATAATTAACTTTTAAAAACACAGCTCAACATTTTCCAGTCTGAATACAGACCAAGGAATCACTACCTGGGCACCTACTGTCAAGGCCCCAGGACCCTGCAGGAGGAGAATTTCAGTACTGTAGAGTCAATTTGATGGCTGTTTCAACTCCTGGGGAACCAGGTTCCCTGGACGGTTAAGGAGCTTTAAACTCTACCCCAGTCAGATTAGGCCCAGGACATTTCGGATCCATACTGGTGCAAACACCAACAGATGTCCTCACACTCCGATGAGTGGGGGGGTGCTTCTACATTGTGAGGAGGGCTTCTGGTTGAGCCTGGTCAACTTAAAAGTCTAGGGTTTTCAACAAAAGGAAGTGCCAAGCCTTGATTTTTAGGTTGATGCTTGAGGAGGGCAAGAAGGCCTTCTTCTTCTTGGAAGAAGCAGCAACCGTAGCTGTAGGAGACTTATGCTTTTCTTGGGTAGGGGTACCATTTCCCCAGTAACTTGAAGAATTTATCAAGGGAATCACCAAACAAGTGTTTACCATAAAAAAGGCATGCATAGATATTGCTTCTTACAATCATGTTTAGCATACCAAACTTTTAGCCATAAAATCCTGCTCATATGCACAGAGTTGGGTTGCCACCTCATCCCTTTAAAACTGAACACATATTAATGACACAGGTTCTGAGGCTAACCTAATGCAGATAAGGCACTAAGTGATTTTAATTACCACTTTGATCAGCCACAGAATCTGTGTATTTAATATGTGTTAGATTTTAAAGGAATGAGGTGGCAATCCTAACACAGAGTTAAGAAAGACTTGGTCAATTACGTTTTCTAGAGCACAGGTGTCAAACAGAAGGCTTGAGGGCCAAATCTGGCCCTCAGACCTCTCCTGCAGCTGTGGCGCTCCCTGGTTTGCACCATGTCTCAGCAGTCAACAGAAGAGAGGAGTACAGATCTCCTCTGCCAGATCCTGCTCTTCTCTATGCAGCCACAGAGTTTCTCATTTCTGCAACCCCCCACCATTGGTTGCAGCAATTGGCAGCAGAGAGGAGTACAGAACTCCTCCTACAGATCCTGCACTTCTCTGTGCAACACCCCTTTTCTTTACCTCCTCTCCGGACTTCAGCAGCTGACTCCAGCCCTCCTTTGGTCCTCCTCTAGACCCTGCCCTTCTGCTTCCCAGCTCCACCTCCAGCTTCTTCCCAGCAGCAGCACAAGGTATGGGGGCTGCTGTGTGATGTAAGAGAGGGTGGGCTGCTCTGAACATCTAGTCTTACAGATACAACCGGCCCTTTGAGGGCAACCATAATGCTGATGTGGCCCACCATGAAATTGAGTTTGATACCCCTGCTTTAGAGCAACAATACACAACAATAAGGCTGAGGGCATCAGTCACACTTGTTCTAAGAGAGCAGAGTCATCAAAAGATGGGTTCCTGTTCATTTGTCTTGTCCATTTAGCAATAGTCTGGCAAATAGACATGGCAGCAATTGCTAACTGTAGGCTTTTAAGAGGGTTTCCAAACGCCTGTAAACAAAATCCTCAAGAGAGGGCACATTCTTAATAGGCACTGTAAGGTGCTTATTGAGAAATAAAATGGCAGGAAAAACTACAGCAATAGCCAATTTTTGCTTAAAAATGCTACTCATTTGAAACATCTCAGCAGTGAGCTTTGGAGAAATGAATACCCTCCCAGAATTGGTCCAGTCCTCCTAAAGTACACAACCAAACTGTGCTCGTATTAAAAAAAATTCTTGACCTAGCCAGAATCAGGTGCTGCTAGGCAACAGCTAGTTTGCACCATGTCAACTAGTGAAGTCACAGTAAAGAGAATTTGGTGCAAAGTTGTAACTTGTGGTTCATAAAATACAGGGGAAAGAAAATACTTTTCTCTGCAACAAATTCAAGGTCCTCAATACTTTCCTCCAAAATATTCTAAAAAAAGGAGGTTCTGGCTCCAGTTCCTGAGTAGGGTCATGGAAAACAGAGGGCATCTGCAAAATGCATGATATTTGGTCATTTTGTCCTCCATTGCTCTATGAGGGGATCCCCAATGGGGTTCTCACAGAATAGAGTTCGAAATTGGATGGGATTTTTGATGTCCGGGTACAAGAGCCAGTGTAACTTTGATGCAGACTGTGTTACTGTAGCTTTGTCAAAGCAGTAGATGGCAGCAGATCTGTAGTAATGTACTGTGTGCATTTTTGGTAGAAAAGGCAGGCAGGAATGCATCAGTCAGGAGGCATAAAGCAGCTGCCTCATCAAATCAAAGAAGAAGCAAAACTGCCAAATTTAAATTGCTGTGTTGAGAAATGTAAGAGACAAGAGCACTACATTAAAATGAATTTAATTTTCCCCATTCCTCTGCCTCTAAAACCATATAGTGTGCTACTGTAGTTTATCTTAATAAAAGCCAGGAAGCAGTGTAAACATACAGGGAACCCTGTCTTACTTTACGTACAATGCTGGGCCTACTAGGGATCTGTGCCTCACCTGTCATGGTGGGCATACCCATGAAGGGGTCTTCAGGGTCTGGGCACAAAAACAATAAACCACAATGGGGTCTGGGTACAGTCCTCAAATGCTTCTACAGAGGAGGACAAGTCCATCAGCTAAGGAGACTTATAAAACTGGAGTCTCAAGGAGTGGGTGGGATTATATGGGTGTGCATTAGAGGCAACCATAGCAAGAAGAATCTGGTTCCCACGGCAACAACAACTTTCATTTCCACTACTTTTCTGGAATATAACTGTTATTGTAGTTTTCTGTTAGTTTCTTGAATGTGATTTATAAACTGACCATAGTTGGAATACTCTTATTATGTGAATACAGTACTGAATTCCAAATTGCACTGACATCCATCATAGCTTAGACTTGCATAACTTTTATATTCCATTCTGCATTTCAAAGAGGGTATTGGGTTGCCTCTGATTTACAGATTTAGCACTGTGCTTTGAATTTTCAGATTATTTTGATATTACAATCCTTAATACTGGTGTGTCAAGGTCAGTTAAATTTAATTCAGAGTGTCATTACATGACAAAGATTTAGAGCCACTGCTATAGAAGATTACATCAGTACATGAAGTCTATTGCTCCTGGACTAGAATCCATGTCTTTTGATTTTGAGAATGGGAAATCATAACCTGCTAATCGAATGAGAAAAATATTTAAAAAATGTATGAGTGTGCAGACCAGGACAATCCAAAATGACTTTCCAAAATATTCAGTCTGAGTTTTAAATAGAAAACCTCCTTCTTTGTAATTTGCTATCTTCTCTGACAGATTGTGCAATTTGACTTCTGAAGAGAAGAGAATTAGTACGAGACAGCCACAGGAACCTACAGAAAAAAGGATATACACATATAAGCACCATGATTGACATTATACAGTGAGCTAACTCTGGCATGTTATTTACTTGCACATTTTTTTCATCTAAGTGTACTCGTGGGTTTTCATCTTTCTATATCAGTTTTTACTCAGTTTCTTCCAGGACTTGATGAGCTGAACAAAGTCAGTACCACTGGGTCTGTTAAACCTGTAAGCTTGGCTAGAGAATGGATGGCCATCTGAAATCCATTTCTGGATTATGTTTGGCTGTGCTCTGAACTTTATGGGTAGTCTTTCTGGAATAATGTTTTTAAATAAAATTCCTTCTGGAGAACCCGCTAGATCAAGGCTTTGCCTCTGACAAAGTCTCAGCATGCTCCTCTTCATTACTGTGCATGCATGCTGCAGCCCTATTTGTTACTTTGAGTAAGCCATTCTCATGTTCTCCAGCGGTCCCTCAGAATATTTCTTATCAATAGGAATGAATGGATCTGTGGTTTCAGAAAAGGAGCCAGATGGGACCTTGTTGGAGGAAAGATCACTGAGAGGGGGAAGGAAAGTATTATCCCAGTGTGACTACAACTAGGAAGTTAGGGAAAATGATTACAAGTCAACTTCAATAAAGTTGAAATTGTCCTTTACTGTAAACCTGTCACAATCCTGGGCAATTCAAAATCAGCATTCAATTAAAAAATGCAAAAACTGAAGTTACATTTAATGAAGACATAATAAAATGATCTGCCAATCCAGAAATATAAACAGTTGAATTGATATTCAGATCACAATTCCCAAGCCTCTTGATCATTCATTGAAGTATCATGTCGCATTAAAGGAGCATTAAAAGGCTTGACAGGCTGGAGCAGCAGACCCAAGCTTCACTTTTTATCTTATGCTTGGGTTTCCTTGCATTTTGACAGGTTTTCTAAATACACCTTTAATAACTACAATCCTTGTATTAAATTCAGTTTTTGTACTGCTCATCCTCTACTCCTGGTATGCTTGTCTAGACAGATGACCTGATATGCAAATCTCAACTCACAAGCGTCCTGATTATTCATTGACAAAGCCTATTACATTAAGGGCCGATTCACACCACATGCAGTATAGTGCATTTTTAATCTGCATTAAAAACACAAGGACAGTAAGTAACATGGATTCCATTGGCATAGTTCACACTAGTGCAATGTGTTTCGCTGCACTAAACAAAAGTAGAGCTTGCTGCATTTTAACTGCATAGAACTCTACTGGAATGTGGTAAAATGCATCAAAACTGCACTGGAGTGTGTTTTTTCATGCGATTGTGTTGGTTGTTAGAAGTTGGCACTCACTGGTGTCCTATCAACCAGTGACTCATCCCCGCTGTCAGCAGCAGAGATTAGTCATTGGTTGTTAAGGAGCTGGCGCCCTAATAACAATGAGTTATCCCTGCCATCAGCGGGGGATTTTCCATTGACAGCAGAATATAAAAAAAACTGACAGCGTTAAAAAAAAAAAAAAAACAGCGTGGAGCTCTCCCCACTCCATACCAAGCCGGGCCTTTTGAATCTGGAATGGATTTTGAAGGGGACCCCACACCAAAAAAAATTAATGGGGTCCCCCCAAAAGAGGAGCCCCACAACAAAAAACAAAATGGGACTCCCCCTGGCAAAGCACCTTGTCCCCATGTTAATGAGGACAAGGATCTCTTACCCACATCCCTGGCACAGTGGTTGTGGGGGTGCGGGGGTAGCTTTTTTGGAATCTGGAACCCCCTTTTAACAAGGGGTCCCCAGATATTGGCCCCCCATGTGAATGAATATGGGGTGTACTCATTTATCAAAAAATGTCAAAAGTAAATAAAAACACAATGGCAGTTTTTGACAAACTGTCGTTGCTTGACACTTGCCAAAAAACAGGGCCAATCAGTGTCATCACAGGTTGCTCCACCCAAATGATGACATATTCTGCCCCCTGAGACCTGCCCCTTGACGCCCCCATAATGTCACTCATGGCTGGGTGATTTGTGACATCACAGGTGACTCCGCCCAAATGATGACACATGCCACAACTGAGACCCTGCCCCTTGATGGCATAGGAGGTGAGGTCATCCAGTAAAGTCACCAGGATATCCTACCCCTTATGACATTTTTTTTGTATAGATTCTGCTGTCAGCAGGGAGTTCCTGCTGACAACAGGGATGACTGATCATGTCAGCTTCTTAACAACAGTTGATTTATCCCTGCTTTTGACAGATGGAACAAACCACTGGTTGTTAAGACGCATGGGATGCCCATTTGCCAGCTCCGAACAACCAACAAAAATCAGGGGAAAATAAACCTGGCAAAAAACATGCACTGGAATGCATTAAAATGCATAAAAAAATCTACATGCAGAAACGCATCTGGATCACAAAACTGTGGTATGAACAGGCCCTAAAATTGCCCTACAAGGCTAGAAAGGCCAGGGGAGTAGAGCCAAGCTTTCACTTTTAATTATATGCTCAGGTTTGCCTGATTTTTTTAAACATATTTTTTAATACATATCATTGAATTCATATTTTGCACACTCTGTTCATCCACTACTTGTCTGACATGCCTATCTCTGCCTATTCAGATGAACATAATACTAACAGTCAAGTACTTACATGAAATGAAGCACCACAGATATAATCCCACTGGACCATGTAGCGTTTCAAATGGATTACCAAATGCATTGAACATAAAGAAGCCAGTTCCTACCAGGGCAAACGCGATGAGGGTCGTCGTAAATATAACCACACTGACATGCATGCTGGCTGGAATCACGTTAAGCAAATCTGGAAAAACTATTGGAAAAAAAAATAGTTTCAATAGATAACCTTTTTGCTTTAACTTTAAAGTTAACCTCAGATTTGCAAATGCGGGGCAAAGCAACAGGTTCACTTTAAAGCGTATCTATGATCAGAATGTAAAATCATATATTAATTTCTGCATTTAATTTATTTCTAGCCTAGAAACAAGGTAGTCAGGTGTCCAGGAAACAAAAGCACCCAATCCCACAAAAAATGATTACTACAGATTAACAAAAGGAAGGAAGCATAATTCAACAACACAATATATTATCATTAAAAGTATAACAATTTATTGTATAACAACATATAAAACAAACACCATAAATATGGTATTATTAAAATTATCACTTAGGATCACTTGGAGTCAATGCAACTTTGAACATTTTTGCAGCAGCTTCTGCTCAAAGTTTTACCAAAATATGGCTTCTTCAGGTGTCTTATGAGCACTGCACATGGTGTCCCTATGGATAAAATATATATCAACAAATACATTACAACAAAAACTCCTGAAGAAGCCATATTTTGGTAAAACATGTTGAGCCGAAGCTGCTGCAAAAATGTTCAAAGTCATATTGACTTCAAGTGATTCTAAGTGATGATTTTAATAATACCATATTTATGGTGTTTGTTTTTATATGTTGTTATAAAATAAAATTGTTCCACTTTTTTTGATAATAATGTGTTGTTGAATTATGCTTTGGCACCATTAAAAATCCCTTCCTTTTGTTAATTTGTGGTAATTATTTCTAGTCTACTCCTTTTAATCTGATTGATCTTGAAGTTTGTATACTTACTATGTGAAGAGCCCCACACTTTTACTTGAATTCTATGACACGTATTCACTAAGTCCTGTAAGTAGGCACTGGTGTGTCACACATTTCACAGAGCCTGCCTTCTGAACCACAGAGGTACTGAGAGGAGAAATTTCAGGAGTCCTTAGAGTAATCCCTGTATGCAGGCAGCAAGGTACCATGGGATATGTAGTCCTTCAAAATTTAAAGTACACAGCAGAGGAGAAGCTGCAAAGCATGATGGTAGTCCACGAAGTTTCGGGAAGAGATGGCCAGCAGACAGGAAGAACTCACAAAATGAAACATTTTTCAAGTACGCTCACACTGAATTGTCATAAATAACTATTGTTTGTAATGTTATTGCAATATTGAGGTTATAAAATGAAAGTGTTTGCTATGACTAGAGATTTCCTTTAATGGCAGACCTATCAGCTGTTAATACCTACCTTCCCTTTTGGCTGCCACTCCATCCATCTGGGAAGAGTAAAGGGTATGGGTAACACGTAACTCCCCTTTCTACTATCTGTAATGGTGCCTGGTCATTGCTCAGGCACCTGGAGCGTTAAAGTGATTGTAAAACCATATTTACTTTAAAATAACAAACATGTCATACTTACCTGCACAATGGTTTTGCATAAAGCAGCCGCGATCCTCCTCTTCTCAGGTACCTCACTGGCGCTCTTGGATTCTCCCCCCTGCCGAATGCCCACCATAGCAAGCCACTTGCTATGGAAAAAATCATGTGGGCTCGCTCCCGAACCCCTTTCTGTGTGTCCATTGTCACACCGAGCATGGTCCGGCCCCCTCCTCACTGGCTGTAATTGACAGCAGCAGAAGCCAATGGGTCCTGCTGCTTTCTCTGAACCCATGAGGAGAGAGCGTCAAGAGAGTCGCTGCTCTTGTTCTCAGCACTGGACCAAGATCAGGCTCAGATAAGTATAAGAGGGGGAGAGGGAGCCTTTAGAACCACTTTAACTTGCATGAGGACCCAACCAAATTGCCCTACATGGAAAGATGGGAATGAGATCTATGGGAATGGACGTATTGGAAGCAACGGAATGGAGTAAACTGGCACAGCTTAACTCTAAAACTTATATTAATACATCACTGATTGAGGCTAACTATAACGTCCTCCTACGGTGGTATTTGGTACCATCCCATCTGGAGTCCTTTGTCTGGGGGGCCTCCTCCAGTTGTTTCTGTGGCTGCGGACAGGAGGAAACAGTTCTCTACACATGGTGGACCTGCTGCAAAGTAAAGCGGTTTTGGATCCGCACCTATAATTTTATATATTCGCTTACCCAAGTGAATCTTGCCAAGTCTCCAAAACAGGTCCTTCTAGGGAAACCGGTGGAGGGAATACCTGGATATATGAGACGCCTGACTGGATTTATCATCACTGTTGCCAGAATATCCATTGCGTGATCTTGGAGATCCCACACGGTTCCCTTCGACCTCTTAAAGGCCAAACTAGCCTGGATAATGGTCAATGAACATCTGTCTGCCATTCTCTATGATAGGGTGGCCTAGTTTGAGAAACTTGGGACCTCTGGATGAAATAGCTCTCCAGATTCTCCTAGGCAGGACTAATGGAAACGTGTGAATCCCCAGAGGGTGCACATCCTACGTCCTAAATTTTGCTTCTCATCCCCCCCCCCCGCATCCCTCCCCCCTCTTTTTTCTTTTTCTCTCCTTTTTTTTCTTCTTCTTCTTTGTAAGTTTTCTTCAGGCACAGTTAGCTCAAGGCCCTAAGGGACTCCTCCCTCCCCATTGTCTGAGGAGAGTTGGGGAGATCCTACCACACCACACAGATTGCAGCTGTCTTCAACATATGTTCTGATAATTTTTTTTTTTTTTTTTTTGACCTAGCATCCTCAAGTCCCATTTGGGACCCCATTTTGCTATTTATGACTGATGATTGTTGTTTTTTGTAGATTATTTGTGCCTGTTCATTTGTTGAGAAATGGATGCATAATTTGTTTGGGCTGTTCTGAAACACCTTTTTTCTATGATAAAACTAATAAACACTATTGGAAACAGAACCACTTTAACATAGGGCTGTGGAGGGAGTTTGCAGCCCTCTATAAGCTCACATGACTTGGACCCTATGCAGGGCTAAAACAGAGTTAACTATTTTTCCTGCAGCTAAATGGAGCAGTAGAGGAGTGAAGGAAAGATAACCCAGGACCCTGCATTCACTATATCTGGTTTCCCACAGTACAGAGAACATCGAAATGCAATTATTTTAGTAAATATAAAACTGCTAAATATCTTTTCTCATCAGCAGTTCGAGCAGTCTTGTGACTTCTATCAGTGTTAAGCAGAGCACTGGTTAAAGCTTGTAGGAGGAGTTTTCTTTCTGCTCTAGAAGGATGCAAAACCCCTGAACTCTGTCTGGACAGTGCTGACTGGCCCTGTGCTGATCACATGCACTCTGCCAAGAAAAACAAGAACAAAATACCTCTCTAGCAGTACACACTAAACTGAGCATGTGCAGAATGGCTATGGTTCAGTCTGTCTTATCAGGAGATAAGACGTGGACATTTGAACAAGAGGAGGAGCAGAGAAGTCAGGATCCAACAGCCTTTTTACACAATGCAGAGGATTAACCCCTTAGGTTCCACAGTCAGTATAACAAGCATGCTTTACTGCATATACAGACTTATTTTATTGTTGTGGGTTTAGTAACACTTTAAGGCTGTTAGATTTGTAATTAAAGTAAGACTGCAAAGAATGGGTTTGCTTTAATGTGATCTTGCACGTAAACACACAAACAATATGCATCATCATCATGGCATGTGTTAAAAACACACATTAGCACTCAAGCATGTAAGAAAATAAATGCAAAAAAAGGCATAAAGATTCACTACTGAGTACTCCTAGATGTGAACTGGTTCCTAGGTTTCTTAGAGTGAATCTGTCAGGATAGAAATACGCAAATTGCTTTTGATGGCTTTTTTTGTAAATGTGTACTCTAAAGTTGCATTTATTCTTGCCTCATTGCTGTATAAGTCACAGACCTGTCATATGTGGTACTGGCACCTGATATGCACATACTTGTTCCTGGACAGTAGTGACATCACCCATAGGCTCCCATGGCCCAGCCATTGTCAGTGCTCCCTCCTCTCCCCTGTTGAAGACGCTTACTGGCAGAGGGGAGCCAGAGCTGCAGGATCACATGGCCGAAGTGGAGTGAATTAAAAATAGGTAAGCATACAGATCTTTTTTATTCAGGGTAGGCGCAATAGGTAGGAGGAAGGAGGAGAATTAGGGAATAGTTATACTTAGGCTATTCTTCTACTTTGATACTTACCTGTCTTGCTGCCTGCACCACTGGTCTTTGCTCTTTACAAGTGCAGAAGAATCAATTTTGTGTGTCAGTAGTCTGGTTCCATCCTCAGGACCCCAAATCATATAGCGATATAGGGGCCTTCCAAAGACCAGGCAACTGACACACCCAAAAGTGATTCTTCTGCACTTGTAAAGAGCGAAGACCAGTGGTGCAGGCAGCAAGACAGGTAAGTATTAAAATGGAAGCAACAGCACATGGTGGGGTATGCAGGCATCCAACACCCTTACTGTGCTCCCATTGGAAATATTTCCCCACATTTACTGTCTTAGTGACACTGAGGGGAAGTCTTCCCAATGCAAAATATAAACTTCCCTATCTAACCCTTACCCCCTCTATAAACAAAAATGTGTTGGCTGAATCTCCACCTTAAAGTAAACCCACAAATACTTGAATAGTTCTCTTGTAGCTTCATATTGTATCAATGTGTTAGTAATACCTAGTACAATAGGGATAGGTATGAAAAGGCTTAATAGTTGGCTGCTCTTACTCAGAGCAAGTTGTAAATTCAATCCCTTTTATGTAAGTGGCCTGGCGTGACATTTTATTGGCAAAGCAGCACAGACATCATTAAAATTTTACATGTGATTCAAACAGCTCACTTCCCTGTAATGCTTGAATGAAAATGAAAAGTGCCACACAAAATAATGAACACTTGTGTTTTGTGTATAGATGTTGGTGACCTTTGTGAAAATAAGCTGATGACCCAGAAATTGATGGGAATTAGCCGTGGTAGCTGAATCAGATGGGTTTACCCATAACAAGCACATTTACAGGCCAGCAAATTCCTGTATAATTAAATGTGATATACTGGCCAGTGGAGGAAAACTCTGATCATTCTCTGTGCTGTAAAT